TTAAACTACAAATTCAGCTAACTATAACATACTGTATAAAATATAACAGCCTTCGAATTAATATATATTTCATAGAGCTGGTCAGTGTAACAAATAATTAAAGGCAACCGCATTGGCGGCATTGCCAACATTACGATATTCGCAAGAGTGCACGTGCACGCGTTAATTCATGGGAATCTGCTAAATAATTTGTAACAATAAAATACTTCTAGACATTTTCAAATTCATACTGTACCTTTTACTTGATGGAAATCATCACAAATAGTATCTCCATAATTGTCCTTCGAAAGCCGAAACATCGCCTCCTCGGCGATTTATATGATGCGATATAAAAGAAGATTGATGTACATTCGACGTGATATGTAAACGTAACATATTAAAAAGAAATATTACAACAAAAAATAAAAGAATATAAATAATTCACGGCAATTCAAGTTCTATTCGTGAACTTTTCGTCGCCCCCCTGTCTTTATTTCCCTAAAGCCCGCTCGCAGGCTAATACTCCAAGAATCTTGTAGTATTTGCCTGACACGTGACCAGCGTTTACCAGGGCCATGTCGCTGCCTTCAACTCACGACTGGCCCTGGGTACGAGGTTGTGCGATAGCTTGTCTGCAGTTGTGTTCAGAGACGGACCATCCTTCATGGCGACCTATACCTATATACGCGCGTTTGTGTAGCAAGTTGAACTTCATGCATATAGAAAATGACCACAGGCTTGCTTCGTTTATGTCAGTGACTGTGATTGATATAGGCTACTACATTTTTTTCACGTTTGTGTCAAAATATTCAGTATTCAACAAGCAAGGCTAACGAATAGAGAATAAATGAAATTTCCGTCTACAAATCTCTTTAACAGTTTAACTATATATTCGTTATATATCGAGTGCGATGCCCCAAATCCTGATATACCAATACACCGCACATTGGCATCATCTTCTATATTGGCATCATCTTATAATTCTAATTGAACGTGGAATGGTTCATATAGGTGGATATTTTGAGCTAACATTGTATATATATATATTCTTAGACATGAGTGGGAGCAGATCATATGGAGCAGATGCAAAGTTTGCAGGGCCACAGGTTCGATTGCGGCCGGAGGGCTTGAGTGCTTGCATTTTTGCAGCTGCGCCCAGTCAGGTCTACTAATGCATACATATTATGATAATATTTTCCTCTAAATTTTCGCCTACAAAAACACTTTAACATTATAAGAGTGGGCCCCAACCCTTGTCAACAACGCTACTGTGATGAGAGGAACAATAAAATCTAAGTCTATTTATTAAGTGAATAATTATGAAGTAGTCCATAATTTACATAAAGTAATACAAGAAAAGAGCATTAACATTAAAAACGTTCTATTGCTACAATGGGAAAACAACCTTAACAGAAACTCCAAATCAAGAGTCTTTTCCATCTGTAGTTAAACATGTTTTACATGGAAAACAAAAAGCATAAAAACAAAATTGTTAATTATTTTACGTTTTATGTTCAAGGAATTTTCGTTCTACGTATAGTCCTATTGAAAAACAATAACAAATCTAATGTTCTCCATATCTAAACCAAAAGCACGAATGCAAAAATGGCGCTGATTTGCAAAACAAGAGAAACGACGATGGACGGTGCGGCGTTCGGGCCACTCAAAGCATTAAAATGGTCACCATAATCTCCTACATACTTCTTGACAGTGTCCGTGTATGGCTCGAATTTGTCGAAGTTGCTACTGACTATTTTGCCAGTCTTCAGAAGGGTGACATTTGCCGCATTCAAGATACCTTGCATTGCCGTGACCATAGTATCAGCCGTGTCTACATTTGTAACCAAAGCGTACGCAGGTCTCTTATCAATGAAACAGCTGAGGTATTCATTAAGACCTAGGGAAAAGAAAATTGTAAATTTCAAGCACTACGCAAACAGGGAAGCACTGCCGCAGAATTGATTTCCGAAGTTTCCTGAATTTTTCCCCGTCTGCCATCTTTGAAAATATTGTGAAGGAAACAAATTTCATAAATCTTTCTATCCAGGGAGTCACAGGAGTACGGGAGGGGGCTTGCGGGAGGGGGGGGGGGG